CCCCCCCGCGGGGCGAGCCCCGTGCCGCGAGGGGCTCGGCCCGTACCCGGCGACGGGCGCGCAGGCAGAAGCGCGGCTCCGGGGCGCTGTCCCGCTCGGCCGCGCTCCGCTGGTCCCGCATGAGGTGATGATAGTACTCTGCCAGCAAGTCCAGCTCCGGCACCACACCCCGCGCAGTCATGGCGGCGCCGCGTGCCTATGGCAACCGCCGCAGGAAGCGGAAGGGGCCGGCCCACGCCCGGTGCTACCCGGCTTCCGGGTTCGCCCGCGAGGCCGCCACTTCCGGGGGAGGTGTTTCACTGGGGCGCACTTCCGGGCGGGGAAGCGCGCGGGCCCTGGCCGCCCCCGCAGGGTGAGTGTGGGGGCGGGAGGACAAGAGGTGAAGGGGGTCAGGGGCCAAGGGTCTGTGAAGTGGGGGTGCAGGGAACGAAGTGAGGGTGTGGGGTGAAGGGGGAGGGGTGAAGTGGGAGAGCAGAGGCGAAGGAGCTGTGAAGTGGGGGCGAAGGGGGGCAGGGGTGAAGTGGGGTGAAAGGGACGGGTGAAGGGGCTGTGAAGTGGGGGTGTAGGGGTGAATGGGGGGAGGGGCAAAGGGGGCCGAGGCGCTGAGCAGAGCCTTGTCCGTCCTCCGCAGGATGTCCCGGGTGCCGCTGGGCAAGGTGCTGCTGAGGAACGTCATCCGCCACACAGACGCGCACAACAAGGTACAGCCGAGCACCTGCCCAGAAACTGCTCCTAGCCACCACAGGGTTGGCGGCCTTCCCCCTGGGCCCGAAGCCCCATCTTGGTGCCGGGGTCTTTCTGGGCCATGACGCCGTTGGCACGTGGTTGCCGTCGTCGAGCCGTGTCGAAGGCGGGTTGTCTATGCTGGGGTCTTTGGGGCTGGTGGCAGAGCGTAGTTTGGATGTAAGCTCAACCGCTGCAGAGCTCCTGTCGCCTCCACCTGTTCCTGCTGCTTCGGCGCGTGTCCTTGTGTGTCGCTGTAGCTGACCTGCCTGTGTGTTGGACCCCAGTAGGCTTCTAGCACAGGGGCTCATCTGGGCTGTTGTTGAGGGTGTGGGGTGACTTTCACTTCGTGAGTCATGTGAGAGGGAAGCTTCCCCGTGGAAGCTCTGCTCTTTGGCTCGCAAGTTTCCTTTAGCTCAGGTACAAGACACGTTTGTATTCAGTTTTGTTTTCAGATTTGTAAGCTCCTGCTACCTGTTGCATATATTGTGCAATTCACTGGTTAATCACATGATAGATTTAGACCAGCCATGCATGTAAAGTAATTCCCACCTGATAAAAATGACTCTTTAGCTGTGAAAAGTGCCAAGCAGCTATGAAGTTAGTGCTTGAAAATTATAACAACTCGAGAGCTGGTTTCTGTCCGGCTTTCATTTGAATGTGGGGCAGTGCCCTTCGTACTCCTTTATTAGAGCTTTAAGCCAGGCAAAGAATGTTTGTCCATTCATTTGTCTTTTTATGTTCGTGAGGTGATGCAACATGAACCAAAGTTACATCAAAGCTTTAGGCTGGACGCTGAATTTCCAGGCTTAACGCAGCTGCTGTCTTTGGATCCAGCAACAGGATGCTTGAGAGAAATTGTGTGCCTTAGTGCGTTGTATTGAACATGGTGAGAGCCAAAGTGTGTAGGGAACCTGCAGAAATCCGAATGTAGAATGAGACCTGTATGTGAACAGTGCGGCGTGACTGTACAAAACAATTAGTCTTCTGTGCCGTTCACCATCGTTATAATGTTGCACCTTTTAGTTAATACAGTATGACTAAAAAGCCTTATTTGCGTCAGTGTAGCAGGGTGGTTCTGCTTGAAATTCATCCAACTTTGGAATTGCCCCTTTGAAGAGGCGATACTTTGTGCTTTGTATTTTCAACGTCACATGTATGAGGTACTTCTATTTGTCTCCTTTTTCTTTTTTTTCCAGATCCAGGAAGAATCAGAAATGTGGAAAATTAGAGAGTGGGAGAAACAGACTCAGGAGACTTACGAGAGGAAGCAAAGGAGAATCTTGTCTGACACATCCAGGTAGGTGTATGAAATTACTCACTTTGTAACCAGACTACAGCAGCCTCTGTAGTGCAGTACTGATAAATATTTACAAAACACTTCAATGACCTGTATGTAAATGCAACAGATGTATCTTCTTCTGACCACTTCTGTGGGCCCTACGGGGTACAGACGCATGTTGAAAGACACCAAATCCCTGTTGAAGTTTCAGATTGCATGTGTGTGATGATCCAGGCATGCAGCTCTACAGCTGTGTAACTAAATTGGCTGGGGCCCCTGAAATAACAAGATTATAATATGGCTAGGAAGTGGTTAGAAAGTTGATGGAATAATTGAAGGAAAAATTGTGCTGTCCTAAGCTGATTGACCTCCTAGGTGCTTGTGTACTGCTATTGCACTGTGTGCTACAGTGGTTCAGACCCAAGATCTTGCCCAGTGTAAATCTGCCATAGCTCTTGACCACTCTTAATTTTGGGTTTTTAAAATAGAAGCAAACTGGAGAGTCAGTGCAACAGATTCATTGAGCTATCATGGGTGTGCCTGAAAGTCTCTTATAAGCTAAAGTAAGATCAGCCTCATGTGATTGATCTGTAGAGACCTCCAAGGAGTTTGCAAAGCTGCAAGGAGTGGTTTTCTGACTCATGGTTCTGCTTTTCTCTTTCAGTCTGGCCTGATCCCCGTGCCAGCTTTGCACTTGGCGGGCTCCTTGAGGTCATTAGAAGCCTTGGCACCATTGTTTGTTAGATCCAAGCTAAACAACTTCCAACTCTGATAGTTACCTTCTGCCTCCTGACCTCTCCTGATTTCTGCCAGATGCCCTGTTCATCACCCCCATTGTCCTGCATGCTGTTAAGCAGCTGTAGGAATCTGTTCCAGAGATGGTTGCGCGTGAGCTGTGAATGAAGTAATCCTCTCCCATCTTTTCAGATTGTTTGGAATTGCATTGAGAAATTATGGTGGAAGGCGGCTTTGGTAGCGCAGGTGGTTAGGCAATCACTGGGCTGGTCCGTGGAACCCATCTATATCTATTCCTGGGAGGTGTGACTCATACTTTGCATGGATTGATAGTCAGAAACAATTGGATCTGTGCTTGTTCCTCTGCCCTTTGCATCCTGAATTAATCCACTGCACAGAAAGTCTCTTCCTCAGAATGGTCTGCTGAAGAATACTTGCTTTCTTTTGGCAGCAGTCGGATGCGCAGTGATGGGTTCGATGAAGAAAGCCAAAGAGCTGACTGGAAGACAAAGAACTTTGCACACTTTCCTGATGTGATTGAAGAGGATTTCCTTAGGGCCCGATCCTGGAATAAGAAGCTCTACGAATGTGAAGCCAACATGCCGGACAGGTTTGGGTGAAATACTATTCTGGGTTGGTTCCTATGTCTAACTGACCTGGCACTTTGTTGCTCTCCTGTCTCTCAAGTTAGTGAAGTTACCCATACCATTTCCTTGCAAAGTAGTATCATCCCTATTACAAATGTCAGCGAGGGGCAAAATGACTTTCCCCTTGTCACAGAGTATCAGGAACTGAGCCCAGATCTCACATTCCAGACTAGTGCCAAGACCTGCCTTTCTGACTAGCAGTAAACATCTGTAATCCCAGAGGTGGTTTAGCAGTGTCCCCAGACATGAGATCTGCTCCTGATATCATGGAGAGGAGTATTTTTGAGTTAATAGTTTCATAGTTTTTAGGATCGGAAGGGACCTGAGCAGATCATTGAGTCCAACCCCTGCCATGGCAGGAAAGAGTACTGGGGTCAAACGACCCCAGCAAGGTGTACATGTAGCCTCCTCTTAAAGACCCCCAGGGTAGGAGCCAGCACCACTTCACTTGGAAGTTGGTTCCAGATCCTAGCCGCCCTGACAGTGAAGTAGC